TTTAGACTCATAGTGATTCTCCTATCTCAGCCTCCCCAGCACTGGGATTACAGGCATGTGCCACCATACCTGGTTTCATGGCCAGCAGGGCTTAGGGCTGGCGCAGCATGTGGTGCCCGGGTTCAAACTCGGGACCTTGGGCTTGCCATGCAGGCGCTTATACCGCCAAGCTATCTTCCTAGCCCAAAAAGCACTAATTTAAAAATTATGATCTAAGTGTCATAAACACTTAGATAGTGGAGTGAACGAGCCAGTGCCACAGGAATGCCTCGTGGGTGTTACCCATTTTGAAAAATGGGTAGAATTATGTTAAGAAACTGGGGGGCTGGAGCTGCAGCTTAGGGGCAGAGCTCTTCCCTTGCGTGCTCAAGGCCCTGGGTTTGACCCCCAGCACCACAAAAAGAAAAAAAAGATTTTGAGGGTGCACCCAAGGTGATACAGGGACACACATAGCAAGGAGATGAGTAGCGGCGCACACCTTCATCCTAGCACTGTGGGAGGCCGAAGCAGGAGGGCCAAACGTCTGCGCTCAGCCAGGGCAGTTTACCAGCTGAGCACGAGCTTGTCTTCAAATAAAGAGTAAAAAGGGCTGGGGATGTAGCTCCGCATGGAGGCCGTGGGCTCAGTTCCCAGGAAGAAAGAGAAAGGCAAGCGAGCGAGCAAGCCATCCAAGTGTGGGGGCGCACACCTATAATCTCAGCACTTGGGACACTGAGGCAGGAGCAGGAGGATTGCTGTGAGTTCAAGGCCAGCCTGGGGGAACCTATCTCATCTCAAAAAGAAGGGAAGGAAAGGAAGAAAGAAAAGAAAAACAAGAAGCAAAGAATGGCGCTCTTCCTGCACAACTGCCTGTGGTAATTCGTTGAGCTACACATCTAGATTTTGTGTGTTTCTCCACATAAGGATTCTTCACAATTCTGACAGCTTTTGTTGTTGTTGTTGTTGTTTTGAGACATGGTCTCACTGTGTAGTTTAGATTGGCCTTGAACTCACATGTATGGCTGGGGATATAGTTCAGTGGCACAAGCACCTGCCTGGTAAGCACAAGGTCCTGAGTTTGATTCCCAGTGCCAAAAAACCCACAATTGGCTATGTAGGCCCAGCAGGCCTCAACTCGCAGCAATCCTCCTGCCTCAGCCTCCTCACAGCTGGGATTATACACTTGCACCACCACAACCTGCTCCTGATAGTTTTTGAAAAAACTTTATAACCCTTCAAACCCATGTCTCTTACTAATGTAGCCTACAAGGCTGGAGATAGAGCTCAGTGGTAGAGCGCTTGCCTAGCAGCCCCGGGCCCCGAGCTCAATCTCCAGGGCCACACACGTGCACACACATACACCCCCCTAGGGATTTAACCCATACCCTTGTGTATTCTGTAACGTACTGTTTGGAGTGACATGTGGCAAACATCTTCCTGCTGGTCACATGGCTAGCCACTGGGGACTAGAATGGCTGTAATGAAAAAGACTACAAACACCGAATGTGGTAGAAGACGTGAATCACTAGGGCCTTCGCAGATTGCAGGTGCTGCCTGCCGCTGGGGGGAAAGCCCTGCAACTTCTAAAAAGTTAAATGCACACTGACCATGGGAGCCGGCAGGCCCACTCCCAGGTATCTAGCCAAGAGAAGCAAAGCACGTGTCCACACAGCCCTACGCACACGCGCTCATGCGGGCGCTGCACAGCAGAGGCAGCAGAGGCAGCAGAGCGGGGAACCATCCTAATGCCTAAAACCTTGGACAGGCTGGGAGCCCCCGGGCACATCCGTAATTGCACAGTGGGCAAGCATGCCAGGGTCCTGAGCACACCCTGCGAAGTGCAGAACCAGGCCCCGACATCGTACCTTGTATTATTGGATTGATTTATTTATTTTGGTCTTTGTTTTTGTTTTTGAGGCAAGGTCTTGCTATGAAGTTCAGGCTGGCCTTGAACTCACTGTGTAGTGCAGGCTGACCTTGGACTTGTGGGATCTTCCTGCCTCAGCCTCCAAATGTTGGGATTGATTACAGGTGTGTGCCACCATGCCCAGCTCTACTTAGATCGATTTGTTTGGTGCAGGGTCTCGCTCTGCAGCTCAGATTTGTAGTGATTCTCCTGCCTCAGCCTCCCCAGTGCTGGGATTACAGGCATGTGCCACCATGCCTCGTTTTGGTCGCCAGATCAGCACAGTGCTGGCATGGCATGCAGTACTGGAGATTGAATCCGGGTCCGTGCGCTTGCCAGGCAGGCGCTTAGACCGCTGAGCTATCTCCTCGGCCCCTCACTTAAGATTTTTAACGTTGGTGTATAGCTCCTTTGCATAGATATAGTGTAAGTTCCTTTACAAATTGTTGAACTTGAGATGATTGGTTTTCCTTTTTTTTTTTTTTGTATTTTTTAGAGAAAAGTCTACAGGGTGTTCAGAGTCTCACATACTGATCTGCCTGTTTATAGCCCCAAGATCTGGGATTACAGGGGCACACCACCACGCCCAGTGTCAACTGCCGTCTCAGCACACCCCGGTGGGGGGTGGGAATGAACCCCCGGCCCCTGCATCTACTTTTTTTTTTTTTGATGGTACTGGGGATCGAACTCAGGACCTTGGGCTTGCCAGGCACACGTTTATGCCACTCTTAGGGGCTATCTCCCCACCTCTTTTTTCCTCCCTTCTTTGTTTGAGACAGGGTCTCAAAATGTAGTGCACATTGTCCTCAAACTCACAGTGATCCTCCTACCTCAGCCTCCCAAAGTTCAGGGATTATAGGAGTGCACCACCATGCCCAGAATCCCATTTTTTGATATTAGAATCTATGCCATGCAAACTACTTCTGTGGCTAAATATTTGTGGTCAAACTTAATTATGTCTGTGGACCATGTTGAGAAGCAGGCCTGATGGATGGCATTCAGTGACTCTTCCACGTGGTCCTTTCAAAGTTTGCTTCCGCTGCCCTCTGCAGTAGGCCCACAAGGCAGAGCCTCCTTTCTCGCCGCGGCCCTCGCCGCCCCACTCCTCAGGGCGCACCCCAGGCCCAAGGCTGCCGCCCTCACCAGGCCCCGTGTCTGTTTGCAGTTGCCCCGACTCCGCAGCCTCCATGACCGTCGAAGTCCAGAGCGCCAACCGCCAGGTTGCAGGCTTCGCCATAATCACCATCGCCTGGATCTTCAGCAGCACCTCCATGGGCCTCGTGGAGTGGCGCGTGTGCCACATGGATGACCCCTCGTTCTCCTTGTCTTCTGTCGTCTGCGTGGGCATGTGGAGGTTCTGCGTCTACAGCCACGACAGCAACTTCAGCAAAGCCAAGCGGTGTCACCAGTACCGCAACACCTTCCTCCCTGCCGACATCCGCACGGCGCAGCACCTCCTGCTGGCCGCCAGCGCTCTGGGGTTCTTGGGCAAAGCCTGCGCCATCCTGGGGCTCAGGAACGTCCACCTGAGAACGCCGGAGGAGGACGGCGCCCGCAAGCCCTTCATCATGGCGGGAACCCTTACCATCGCCGCTTGCGCCTGCCTCTCCATCGCCGCCTTCTGGAACTGCTACTCCGTCATGAATGAAGAGAGGATCTACTTCCCGCTCTCCTTCCACGTTCCCTTCCAGCCCGGCAGTCAGGAAATGGGCAGCACCATGGTGGTGGCGCTCCTCAGCGCCTTCCTGCTGCTGTTAAGTGGGATATTTTTCCTCTCTTATAGATACCCCCTGAAGACCCAGGAATTTGAGCTTGCCTTGAGACCTGAAAAACAGAGTTAGGGGGCACTGGCTTCGTACGTGCAAGCTTCCCAGGAATTTATGGAAAGTATCAGGCGATTCAAGGACAAGTCTGTGACAGCGGTATCCTGGGACAGAACCTGGCCTCAGTTCCTTTCACTATCTTCTGTGTCCGGATTTGGTTCATTGATTGACTGGTTGAAATAGATGTTTTCATTAAAAAAAGAAAAAAAAGTCCTGCCCACCTGCAAAAAAATCAAACCAAACCAAAACAGCCCGAGGTCAGGGAGGGGCATCTTGCACAGCCCCAGGTGCCTGCCCGGTGGGGCCGTCCCCACTTGGGCGCTGCTGGCCTGTCAGGCTGCCCCACATGCCACTGGATCCACCACCCCTGTGCCTGCCGATGTCTTTGCCACTGCTGGGTCCTGTCCTGACCTGAAGCCCACAGCAGTGAATGAGGGCCGGGTCCGGCCTCTCTGAGGACCGGGGTGCCCTGCAGTCCCTGCCTGCTCTCCCGAAGCTACTTCTCCATTCTTCCCAGGGTGCCTGGAGCCTGGCCCCAGTCCTCTCCAGGGTCTTGGACCTAGCTGTGCCCTTGCCCAGGGTCTCAGACACTTCCTGCCCCTTTATTGTCACCCTCTGCAGCGGTCCAAGGCCCCCATCCCTGCAGGGTCCTGTGGACACACTATGGCTCCACATCTGTGGGTCAGAGGGAGGATCCCCAGGAGGGCCCCAACAGGAGCAAGGAGCCCCCAAGAGGTCTCCTTGGTGAAGGCCCTCTGCTGGGGTGCAGAGACACTCAGGTATACAGACACCTTGAGCACATCGACACCCAGGCACAGGACCAGCACCTCCCTCCTCTGGGACTTACGTGCCTGGCTGGGCACACAGATGCTCACGGACCTGTGCTGCAGGTACAGCAGACATTCCAAGGGGGGTGGTGGGTACACAGCTCAGGTCCCAGGTGGCCCCAGAGCAAGTTCCCATACACCCTGGACACACATGCATGGGGCCCTGGTGCCCAACAGGTGCCTACCAGCTCTGGCATGCCAGAGGAAGCTGCCCAGGGGCAGATGGAGCAACGGACACAGCCTGCCCTGGCCCTGCTCTGTTGGTACAAAGGGGGTATCTCCTCTGGTTCCACACACAGAGAGGTGTCCACTGTATGCCTGGCTGCCAGGTCCTAGGACCCTGAGACACCAAAGTGGCAGGTCACGAGTGGGGCCAGACGTGGACAGCTCCCAGGTGTGGTGTTGGGACTGGGTCCTCACTGGTGTGTGCTCAGATCCAGAGTTGCGCAGGCTGGAAGTCACCCCGTGAGCACGGTATGCCGAGGACCCCGGGGGCCATCTGCACAAGGTGCCTGGCTGACCCTGGAGGGAGATAGCTGTGACCTGGGCGAGGAACAGCGAGAACATCTGTGGTAGAGCCTGTGGTGCACAGAACTGCAGGGACAGTGCTGAACCCCTGGATGCTGGAGGGGCGGGGTGGCCCCCACTGGGCCCTCGGGGTGCTCAGGGCCCGTGTGAGCTAGGGAAGGTTTGGGGCAGACGTGTGCACTTCTGGGAGAGTTATCCAGAGAGGAAGGTGAAGCGCCGAGCTCTAAACTCCTCTTCACATTTCTGCTTATTTGACACATCTCACCCCGGAGCCCAAGATGCTTTTTCCACTGAGAAAAAGCATGGCTGGATTTAGCTTCGTTCTATGCTGCTCAAACAAGTCACTTTGGTGATACATGTTCAAATGCAAGAGACGCCAGAGTCACGCCAGACCAACGAATGCCAGGCACGGACCTCCACTGCCTTAGTTTCCGGGTGGTGTGGAGGTGCCCAGGTGTCAGCTCTGGGTAGGTGAGACTGCACTACAGCCCTCAGCCCTGGCACGGAGCAGGCTTCCTTTCTTGCTGTTAGGGGGCAAGGAGGAAGGAGCACTGGGTTATTCCCTTTGCAGTACTGGGAACTAAGCCCAACACCTTCATGCTGAGCTATACCCCCAGCTTTTTTATTTATTATGTTTTATTTAGTGGTACTGGGGACTGAACTCAGGACCTTGCGCTTGCCAGGCAGGCACTTAAGCTACTGAGCCATCTCCCTGGCTCTTATTTTTTTTAATTTTGAGCCTGGATCTTGCTAAATCACTGAATTCACTCAGGCTAGCTTTGCACTTGGGACCCTCTTGCCTCAGCCGCCCTGATTGCTGGGTTCCATCCATATACCACATATCGCGAGAGGCCCAGAATCACCTCAGTTCACGACTGCTTCTGCTTGCAAACAATGCGGTGCACAAACGAAAGCGCTCAGCTTTCCTCCTGTTTGCAAACTCCGTACTGGGTGACAAACACAACCGCACCATCTTCACTACACCAAGGCAGCCCTCTTCCCCGAGTCGTAAAGCAAATGTAAGTTTGTAAACCAAGGCACGGCTACAGGCAGGCACATGCACATCCACCCAGGCTGGTGAACGTCGCATTCCTCCTGTCTGGCTCTGTTCGGCTCTGCCGCTCTCTGTCCGCTCCATCTGAGCAGGATCTCCCTGCCTAAGGAAGCCAACTTCACACGCATGCAAGGGAAGGAGGGAGGTTGTTTCTAGGTGCTTCTAGGAGCTCCCAGATCATCTTTGTCTATCCTGGGTCACATCTCTGGCCAAAGTGGCCAGGGGAGGTGCTGGGGAGATAGCTCAGTAGAGTAAAAGCTTGCTTGGCAAGTGCAAGGGCCTGAGTTCAATTCCGGGTTCCACCAAACAAAGTGGCCAGGGAATGGTACCGGGGACTGGCCTGGCCCGAGTCCTAGCTTGTCCTCAGAGCTAAGGCTTGGGGTCAAGCCCACCGGAGAGGAGTTAGGGGGACACTCCACTGGAAGCTCAGGGTACTGCTACCAAGAAGGGGGAATGGGCACTGCTTACACGTTGGATTTCACTGTCTGCACGGTTGTCCGAAATTGATAGAGCACATTTCTTCACAGAACCCAAGCAAGCAAGAGCTTGTGGCTGGGTTCCCAAGGAAGTCCTGTGAGCTTCCCATGTAGGATCTAAGGAAAGGTCACTCAGGCCATGACAGTGACAGCCTTAGGCCTCCAGGAAGCCCTGTATCAGTGACGGTGAACCTTTTGGGGCTTTCAATGATACCAGCAGCCTGCTGCAGCTCACGTGCCAGAGGTTCACCACTACGGCCCTATTCTAAGGGAGGGATCAGTCTCCTGGAAGACTCCTCCACACTCAGCAAGTAGAAAGATCTCAATTCGGTTTCGAGTCTCAGTTCTGCTACTCTTTCTCAGTAACCCTCTGCAGGGGTGCTGCGGATGCTGAGCTCGCCACTGGTGACCTCTCAACCCTTCCAATTCCAGTGTCCAGGACCTGCTGCCCCCGCCAGGACTTTCTCTCCACAGAGCTGATTGCAACAGAGTACCAGTAGACACTGAGGGCCACCAATGTGCGAATGACTAACCTAAACTGTGCTTAGTAGCTCGATAGTTATCAGGCAGTATGACAGAGACACGCACAAAATGGGAGGTGAGAAGGCGCCCCTGCAGGTCAGCCAGCCCTCCCTGACAGACCACCCTTCCTCGTCCCTCAGGCCTCCCTGGACCTCTCAAACCATATTCTGCTGCACCTGCCCCATCTTGCTGTAACTTCCTCTAACATTATATATATATATATATATATATATATATATATATATATATATATATATATATAACTTTTTTATTATTATTATTTTTGTATTTCGTACAGGGTCTATAGGGTCTCACTATGTAAATCAGACTCATGATGATCCTCCTGTTTTCAGCCTCCCAAGCACTGGGATTATAGGCCCACGCCACCACGCCCAGTCTCAATTGCCATCTCAGTGTGCCCTGGGGGTGGGGCCAGCACTGCACAGCAGGGATCGAACCCCGGCTGCTGCACTCTGCTTAAGCAGGTGCTTTAGTCCGCTGAGCTATCTGACTGGCCCTAACACTATACACTTGATGGTATAGTCTTCTGTTGATCAAGGAACGTCTGCATAATAAATAGGGCCAGCTGGACTGAAATGTTAAGCACGTACTCTGGATGCAGCCCTAAAACACTCGCTTCGCTTCTCACACTCACAACTCGCATGTCTGGAAATAGATCTGAGGACCTCGCTTTGTCACTGTGTTGAGCTGGTTCCCAGGTGACCTCTGGAGTCTGCAGGCAGCATCAATCCGCTGTTCACAAGCGCAGCCTCTGCTCAGCAATGGTTCCAAACCCTTTCTGCCTGAGGAACAATGTAGCAATAGCAAGGGTCCTCTCTGCTGCACGTGGTGGAAGATTTTTGCCTCACCTGCACCCTACAAATCATCCAATCTTAAGAAATTAACTCTTGGAACTTCAGGATCTTGTGAGAAGTTTTATTAGAGTTTGGTTTTATAGTAACTTTAAAAAATATGTATTTAGTACAGGGTCTACAGGGTCTCACTACACAGATCGGACTTGTAGTGATCTTTCCTGTTTTTTAGCCTCCTTAGCACTGGGATTATAGGGATGTGCCACCACACCCAGTCTCAATCACAGTCTCAGCACACCCTGGGGGTGGGGCTGGCATGGCAGGTTGGGGATTGAACCCCCAGCCTCTGTGTCTGCCTAAGCAGGCACTTTAATCCACTGAGCTATCTGGCCAGCCCTTATAGTGACTCATTTTTATATAGGAAGATACCTTCTCAGTTTGCTTAGCCAAGATTTTTGTTTTACAAAGTTTCATATTTAGGCATTACAAATGCTTGATAAACTTGAACTCAATTCTGCAACGCTGAGTATTATTACTACTAAGAATCTTTATAAAACTAAGTTGTTACATTCCACAGGGAGGAGGAGAAGTGGAAAAAATTGTGAAGTGCTTATATTTAGCAGTGACACACAATTCATTCAACCTATTCTGTGTCATATAAAACCCCTATAAGCTGTATTTGATTTCTAAGTGGCCCCATTGGCTCTGGAAGATGGTACCTAGTTGGGATCACTCCTGAAACCTTTAAAGGTGGCTTCAAGACCAGAGAAATGGTAAAGTACTACAGCATCCTCCCAGCCCTGGAGTCCTATTGGCTTATACTGATTGATCCTGTATAAGACACTTCCACTT